TTTCCTAACATGTCACATTCACTTCGGCAGACATTCTTCAAGTTTTCAAATGTTTGTCTCTGCACAATGGAAAACTCCCAGGAAAGAGGAGGTAAATAATTGAAGTGATGGAGGTAAATAATACCACCACCTGAAGGAGACTGACAAGGCAGGTGCTTGGTAAATACTAGTTTCTTCTTTCTGTGGAATCAAAAGGGAAAGTGCAGAAAGAGAATTTGCCAGGAGACCCTGTGGAAAGAGCAGAGCTGGCTCCTCCTGCACTCAGAAGAGCAGGCGCAGTCCTGTACCCAACACATTCTGTCCCCAGAGGCCTCAGCTATATCTGTTGTCCCATTTTATCTGCAGCTCTTCCAAACAGGAGGGGGACCAGTTGCATTGTTTCTGTGTTAAAGATGAAGTGACTTTTGTTTTTAGTGCTTTTCTTTCAGTAAGCAATTGTAATATCCTTCAATAATGCCGTTAACTATTGTCTGCCATACTGCATTGAGTGGCTTCCACACATTATAGGAAATCATTGGTTTTCAGCTATACTGAGGGTCACACTTTCACATGACTTCCAAGCACTCTGCTATTTAGAGTTACCTAAGATTCAAAAACTAGAACATTGTGAAAACTCAGACAGTGAGGGGATGGGCCCCAGATTCTAAATAACACGTTATGAAAGAGGCTCATTGATTCCTGAGTGGTGGCGATTTGCTACCATATTAATAGCTTTCCTTAAATCGAAGTTCAGTAAACTTCCCAATCGATTGCAAATAATGTGTTGCTTTCCTGTATCTTGTACATTGTGTCTGATCAGCCTGGCTATATACCCTGCCTTCAGCTATGTTCTACATGATGCTGAAGAAAGAACTAAATTCCCCTGAGTTTCACCATCTTCACACATAGAAGCTTGAAGCACTAGCTTCCTCTTTAAAATGACTTTGTGAAGACCAAGTTAGATAACACCGTAGATATTTTCGTTTTGTTATATGACAACAAATATGAGATGTGATTCAAAAATAGGTGAATGTTTAGGGGTTTTTGGTTGTTGTTGTTGTTGTTGTTAAAATGAATAGTACAGTAAAAGACATTGCCATTATCGCCCCCTCAAGATGCTCCCCTTAGCCTCACCACACTTCTCCCATGGTTCTCACCCCGCTCTGAAGCAGTTCTGCACATCCTCTTTCCTGAGTGTCCTTAGCTGTTTGGTCATGGCTGTCTAGATGTCCTGGATTGACTCAAACCACTTATCTTTCAAGATTACTTTTGCTTTGGGGAAGAATGAGAAGTTGCAAGGTTCAAGGACACACTGCAGTGTGGCAGGAGCCTGTCTTTTGGTTGACGGCAGCAACGGCGGCAGCAGCAGCACTTACACTTCTGACCACACCACATGCAGACAGGGAGGCTGGAATAAGTGTGTTGGAAAGGAGGGGCTTATTGTGAGGGGAAGTAATGGCGATGTGTCTTTTACTATTGTAAATTTTTCATTGAAACATTTGTTGTATATTCCTATTACATCTAATATATTTAATTGGAAAGACAGAAGGAGAGAGAGGATTTTAAATAGTGTCTGTGGTATTACCTGACATTGTCTCAATAACCAAATGTCCCACAGCGAGCACAGAGATCGAGCTGTTTCCTGCAGTGAGCTGATTTCCCATTCGCCTTCCACATTTTGAGCCTCTAACCACACCAAGTGTCATCAAAAAGTTTAATGCAGCATATTTTTCCTGACATGGCCTTAAGTCAGTACCATTCGCCTCATCTGTTGTACATTTCAACACACAACATTCCCTCTCAATGATAAGAGAAAAATTGGTTGCTTTGGTCTTCTAAAAACTGAATCCACTAGTCTTGGGTTAGGGACAACCTGGAACTCCAGCAAGGTTCCTAAGATGTGAATCCTTCTTACACTTTGCAGCTCTGCATTTTCAGTGTTGGGCGAATTCCTAAGAAATCCATTTCTTCCTGGACCTTAGAAGGCTCCTGAAGCTATAGGAAAAGGAAATTGACTTCTCTTACAGCCCAAAGCAGAACCCAGGAATTGCATCTTAATTAGTTTGTTTGGGTCATGTGATCTCAATGTAGCCAGGAAGCTGTAGTTCATTGACGAACCGAAGACAGTCAGGTCCCTGCCTACACCTATGCGAGCTCAGTCCCTGCAAATTCCTGGCAGTCAGAAAATAGAGGGGTGTGTTAGAAGGACATTTCGATGCTAGGGAAAGGGTAAGAAATAATCCCCAGGTGTGCTAACTTCAAAATCCAACCATTGTGAAAACTGTAACTCTGTAGGAAACTGCAGACTATCTGTTACTTTCCTTGCTATCATTGAATTTCTTACCTTGTGTTAAGCCCAGACGAGGATACACTAAAATTTTTACATAAAAACAAAAATTAACCTGTGATCAAGGATTGATCTTTAGAAAAGAAACAGAACAATTTGTGAAAATATAAAGTTATGTGCTAACTGGAGTAGCACAGATTTTGAAATATTTTAAATCTCTGTCTTGGTGACACATTATGAATAAAATATTCTATCTTACTGCCTTATATTACATAGGAATATTTTTAAACAATGGTGGGCTTCATGGTGCAATTCTAAAGTCAGATTCAGAAAGCTATGAGCATTTTTTTAGAGATAAGTAGCTTTAAGCTGAGTTTACTCACTCAACCCCCTTGTGATTATTATTGAAGAGATTATAAATATCAACTTGTGGGATATGGAGAAAATATGGCCACGCACAAAACAAATAATAAATAGCCATTAGTGTATGACAGTAATTTGTGCCTGACAACCTGATTTGCCATTCCAGCAGTTCCTTCATGGAATCAATAAAGATCGCATAAACATAATAGTTTGGACATCCACGATGAACCAGAGTTCTAATACACACGTGCACATGCTCACACACACACCTCAAACACACAAATACTCTCCTTCTCTGTAGTGTCAGCTATAGACCCAGCAGCTCTGAGGTCTATAGGACCTCCAAGGAGAAAGGACCTTTGCTGTGCCATGGCAGTTGCCTTCATTTTCAAAGGCCACACACACAATTTGCATGAGTAGGTGGTGTCAGTCTCTTAATCAAATGTGACTCACTTCTTCCCTAATATATGAATAAAAAAATAGCACATGCCCAGACCCACAGGCATTAGCAGGGTAGTGTGTTTCTCCCACAGAGTGAAAGAAGCACACATTAAACCTTCACACAGATGATAGGGAAAGAGTTTCATGAGATGGAGGCACTCTCATTCTTTTAGAAATTCCCACACAGCTGCTTCTAATGATCACAGTTCAGCAGATTTTTAATCACTGAAGTAACACAAGTCAATCACTTGGGAAGAGCCCGAGGTCACCTGTAGGTCTCCTTTTTCCTGGAGGGTCCTCCTTTCAACTCACTTGCTCAGAACTGTGGTCTGCTCCCTTGGCAGTCTCCTACCCTAACTTTTGTGTGCCTGGGTGTGATTTCTGTCTTTGTGAGCAAGCTGGAAATAGCCTCCCTCCCCAATGTGTGCATGTGTTTGTGGGGGTGGAGAGAGAAAGAGGTAGAGAGAAGTGACGAGCAAATTGGGAGGGGGGTGAGCGAAGGCCGCCCCCACACACCCCAGGCTTGAGGGTGCGCACAAGGCACACACTAACCTGAGACATCCATCTCTCGGACTACCCACTTTTTCTGGCCACCCTCATGAATCATGGTCTGAATCTCCGCCCCTGCCTCTCACCGCAGGCAAATCTGTTTTGGCTAGAATCAAATAGACACCGTCACTGCTGCAAAGTACAACACCTACTGTAAGTTCGTGGGGGCTGGATATCTCCAGAAAAGCTCTTGACATTTTACCAATTTGTTCACAAAGGGAGGAGACGTATCATAAAGAAAACACAAGGGGTACTGGTGCAGCTCTACCTCCACTGCCAAGGCTGGAAAAGAGTCCTGTGGGTTGGCTTTCTTTTTAGCTTTTTCTTTTCTTTTTTTTTTTTTTAGTATGTGAAAGTGCTTATTCACTCCCTCCTCTGAGCCTTTTCCCCCTCATTTCTGAGTCTCATTTCTTCTTCTAGAGCTCAGTAGTACCCATAAAACAGTACCCACAAAGTCAGTTCTACTCGTCACCCTGGCAGCCTGCTTGAGCTTGGGCCTGAGAGTCCAGAGTCCCCCTGGATAGGAATCAGAATTTACCCCTGACTTAAGAAGGTAGCCCTGAAATAACTTACAGTCCAGATTTAGACAAAATGCCCAACTTCATGGGGGTGGAGGAGATTGGGCTGCCAAGAGTATTTGAATGATTCAGCTACAGAGACCAACTGTGCTGGGTGGTTACCAGGCAACTGTCTCCAAAGCTTCCTGGCATCCTCCTCAGGATCGCTCTCTCCTTTCCCAACAGCACTTCTTTGCTGCAGTTATGCGTTCTGCCTGCAATACCTTTCCTTTCTGTTCTTTTTCAAATTCTATTATCTTTGTGACTCTCCAAGTGTCACCACCTCTCCAAAGCCTTTCCCAGAGCTTTGCCCCATGGTTTTGTCATAGAATTTAGCACATTTGAGCATAACCATTGCTTCACTGTCTGTCCATCTTTTGAGGATCAAGATTGGTATCCTCAGGACACTCACAAATTCACTTGGGGTAACACTGATAACTTATGTAACCTCTAGAGCATCACGCTGGAGCACTTAGCTGGAAGGGTGTTTGCAGGTTTTTGCTTATTATTTTGGATTTGATCATACTGTATTTGAAACTAAAAGAGTGTGAAACCAGAAATTAATGCCATCCAACCTGCTATCTAACACTATCTCCTGAGTCTGCTGCCACCACATAATTTTTACCAGTTTCCCACCATTGACCTTTCCTGAACCAGGCATTGTGACATGCCTCTGAACTCCTACTACTTGAGTAAATCCTTTGAGTCCAGGATTTCAAGATCTCCTAGACAACAAAGCAAAATCTTAAAAAAAAAAAACACTCAGCACTTCCTGCTGACTTTCATTCTGGTCCATTACTCCTTTGAGGAAAACACCAATAAAATGTATTATATCTATTTTATTTGCCGAGTTGTAAAATGGTGACCATCCGACTGGTGTCACTGAGTAGCACATCCATCTAGATCGGGATGAAAATATGACAGGAACCTAAATTAGACAAAATTAACATACAGTCAGAGAGGGACGGGGCTCTCATGGAGGTCAGCAAAAACTAAAGACAGCAGAATTGCGCCTAGAGGTGGATTTGAAGAAGACCAGGCCTCCAGGTGGAGATGCAGGGCCAGCCCTCCATGCCTCCCTCAAGGCTGAACAATAACCTGAGACTGTGTTGTCATTAGCACCACCAGGTCCAGTAAGTTCCGATGACATCAGTGGCCCAGGTGAGTGACTGGAGCATCGGGACCCATTCCTTCCCAAAACGCCTTTCTTCAATATTAGCCCAGCGGCTGCACTTGGAATCCTGTGGGTCATTAGCTTTACCCACACTGTACTCATGGTGGGACTTTCCTGTATAAACCAGCCCTGCCCCAGGACCTCGGCTGTCACCCCACTTGGGACCCCTCCCGGACATCCAGGAGCTGTTCTTCTTCTCTCCTTATGTCAGGTGAAACTCTCCTAAATTCTTCCTTTGGTTTGCGACTTCATTCCATGAGGTTTTGGGACTGTTACATGTCAAACACTTACAGCTTAACAGGTCAGGGGTTATGTTTGTCTTATATGAAAAGGAAGTTTTGCTTTGCTTTGTTTTGTTTTCCTGAATGAGTGACAATCACATAATAAACATCAGGAGAGTCCATAAGCCAGTGATGGACTCTCCCTGTACTATTTGTAGGAAGCAATCACCTGTGATCCCCTGGAATCACTTGTGCTCCCCTGGAATCCTGCTACCATGAAAGTGATAGTGAGAGCTTTGGGTATGAGGAATAGGAAAGGGAAGGGTGGGAAGCAAGCTGGAGAGTAGGGAAAAGCAGGCAGAGTTAATCAACTTAAGGAAAGCAAGAAATTCAGGAGGTGGACAAAGTAAACTTTAAGGACTCAGGTTCAACTTCAGCAGCTGGTGAATGGATCACAACACTCAAAATGAGCCTACAGAAATGCCAAGAAGAACAAAGACAGCATTCGAAGTATCCACTCCTTACTAGCAAATTATTAGTTGGGTACTCATAATATGCAATAATATTTAGTGTCATGATAAAAATGAAACGAGGCAGAAAATCACGTACAGTACTGCTTGAGAGGAAAACCAAAGTGATGGCATTACAGAGCTTTGTCCAGGAACTGATGCTGGCTGCCAGTTAGTCCTAAAGAGCAAGTTACGTTTAATAAGGCTTTGATTCGTTTTACCCTTAAAGTAATAAACAGAAGAAAACTTGGAGGTGTGAGTGTTTTCTTCTCTCCCCATTCCTACATGTGAAGTGTCAGGACACAACATTTCATGTGTCTGCTCCATTGACATTGCTTCTGGGACATCACTTTTTGAACCACAGCAGCTGCAAAGAACAGAGGCCCACAGGGCTGATTTGGTCATCCTGGGGCCTGTGGTCATGCAAAGCTGCCCTGCAGGTTCTCAGAGGAACCAAGAACAGGACGTGAAGGCAGCCAACCCACTGCGCTGAACCAGGATCCACACTGCTCTTTCTGCCTGTGTAGACGCTCTGCTTCCCTGATGTCCTCCTCTTTCCCAGTGGTTTGTTTGGCCTGCACTGCACTTCCTCATATCCCAGTGCTACACTGAGATCCTGTGCTACACTGCAAACTGAGAAATTTCTCCTGGTTCCCTCAGTGAAATTCCAAAGGGAGAGCAGGTGAGACAGTGGGGCACAGAGGGGGAGAGAGAGGCGATCGGGTTGCACCAGATCACCTTCGGAGACACACACGCACAGAGGCCCGCCAGTGTCTCCACTCAACTCAGTTCAAGATGATGGAGTCAACATGGAATAAATCATGAACATCTAGAGCAACAGGCTTATTTCAGGAAGGATGGAATATGCATCTTACCCCTAATGGTTCTTAAGTCTGTACTCTACTCCCAGGGCAAAGCTGCTTCCTGAGTTCCCTGTAAAATATATATGCGTCACCAATAGGTATTGTAAGAGGAAATATATGTTAATCTACATACCACCACTTTTAATTAAACGTATTTCTATTTAAGTTTCACTTTGTGCCTTTTTAAGGAGTTCCGACACAACTTTGCTCCGTTTTAGTGAGCATAGAATAATCTCTGGAATTCGAAAGCTCCATTTCTGTTGTTATTCACTGGAAAGCTTTGGCAGAAGGATTTGATTATTTGTAACTTCCTTTATTTGTAATACGGTACTATGTATAATAATTATTCAGTAAATATTATTACATATTAAGCATTGTAAGTTTCATACATGTTCGCTTATTAATATTTATAACTAAGGTGAGACCCAGTATGTAGAAGGAAGATAATAATAATAATTGCATTTATTCCAAGCATCTGTGGAAAAACCGTTTATGTCTGGGGCTGACATTGCTACCTTCACTCAGATGATTAAGAAGTTGAAACACAACCAAGATAGCCCTCTGCCCCGTATCGTACGGCTCACAGACAGCAAAACTGGAATCCAGTGCAGCGTGTACTGGTAACCACAGGGCATCACAGCCTTAAAGCACCCGCTGCTGCTGTTGTATTTCTGCACATTTGCTGTGTTCAGTCCAAGACTGTAAAAATACAAACATGTGGTAGCTGTCAGTCTCTGCACTTGCTTTGGGAAATGCACAGTGGAAATGTGCAACCTTTTGCTAAAGACACTGGTCAGTGCAGAGATCAACAAACCGTGTCCCAGCCATTGGGCACAGCAACATGTTTTCACAAAGACAGTTGCTTCTACTGGGTGTAGTGGCACATGCCTCTACTACCAGTGCTCTGGGAAACTGAGGAAGAAGCAGCATAATTCTAGCCCAGCCTGGGCAGCTTAGCAATGTGGTGAGACACTGTCTCTAGATACAAAGGGCTGGAGACATATCTCAGTGCAAAATCACTGGCTTCAGTTTCCCGGTACTGGGGGAAAATGTTGGCTCTTGAACTCAAACACTCCCATTTATTTATTTGTTGTCTTTGCTTTTGAAATAAAATAGTAGACTCAAGCATTTTTAACAGAGGCCATATGGCATGCAAAGCCTAAAATATTTATTTGGACCTATATAAAAAAGTGGTTACCAATCCAATCTCTCAGTTTAAGCATAATATCTACTAACCAATACACAGATTGGAATGTGTTATCAAAAAATTAGCCCTTATACCCATTACCACTTGACCAAAATGTGACATAAAAATAAGCCTAACTGGGCATTCCTATGATCTAAAAAGGGCTAATATTGTTACTACTAACCCAGATAGAGAAAACAGAATCACTGATACATCGAGGTAATAAGAATATCAAGCCACATTGGAAATTCAGATTTTCTGTTGCCAGCATTTCTTATTTTTATACTCCAGATGAAAGTTTTTTTTTTTTAATTTGGCCTTAAGAATAACTAAAAGATTGCTTCTCATCCAAGCACAGGAAAGGAGCATGGCAGGACAGAGATGGGTTAACTCCAGCAGTGCGTCTGCATCATAGTTTGTGGAGATGCTACCCTATGATTTTGCAGCTTCTGCATGGCACTCTAACTGGCCATGCCACTTAAACGAACCGAGTCTGACTCACTGTGTACTCAGCACTGAAGGAAAACCACAGATGAGAAAGAGCTATCAGGAAACCTGCAGGAGGAAACAGCACAGGGAATGAAGCGTGAGGTGAGGTGTATTCCTCGTTCTGGGACATTCAGAAATTTCATTTCAAGTCAACCTTAAATGTCATTATCTGGTTCTTAAATGCCAAGCACAAAGTGGCCTCAGCACAGCTATCCTGACCTTGAGAAGGACAAATTTTTTCAGAGTCTGACTTCAGCCATTCATAGGGAGCTGAAGGGCCACATGTGTTGCATGTAGAACAATACCCAGTAGCTCATCTGAAGGAAATGTTGTGCATGCAGATTTCCAAGACACCCACACCTAAGAGATAATGCCAGGGAGTTAATCAAATACTTTTCTGCCTGCACAACTGTGGTACCTAAAGCTGCTAGAAACATCATTTTTAGACATTCGTGGGAGGGATTCTTTTTCATAATTCTGCGTTTCTTCCACTCCCACCACATGTCTAGGCTTGGCTTACAGACTCACAATGCTACCTTTCAGAGAATTTTCTTTTTCTTTTTCTTTCTTTCCTTCTTTCTTTGTCTTTCTTCTTTCTCTCTCTCTTTTCTTTCCCTCTCTTTCTTTCTTTCTTTCTTTCTTTCTTTCTTTCTTTCTTTCTTTCTTTCTTTCTTTCTTTCTTTCTGCCATAAACTAAGTAGCTCTCTAGGGCCAATTACAGTAAATGCTTCAAAAACCAACACGACTTCCCTGGAACATGGTGAACCAAATTGCAGGTCCTGCCTAGAGTCCTGGAATGCAAAGCACCACCCTTCACCTCCCAAACTTGCTTGTGTTACTCATGCTCAAGGCAGCCTCAAGGATCCTAACAAACACAAAAGACTGGTCCACTGATACCCACTGACTGGGTATGGTAGGCCAGTGGTTGGCAGTGGACCCAGAAGAGACTGAATGGCTAGGAAAACAATCCTCAGATGGGTCAACTAGATAGAAAATAAGTAAAACAGGAAGGAGTGGATGAAAGCTAGCTCAGAGGAAATGAGTCACACAGAGAAGAGAGGTGGTCATGCAAGGTTTCTAAGAATAATGTACTTACATTGAGGTATGAGAACTTCAGTAAGATTTAGCCAGGAATCAAAACTGGGGAGAAAACTATTCCAGCCACAAGGAGGAGCATGGGCAAGACCTAGAAGACAGAGAAAAATCATTGTTGAACTGCAAAAAGGCAGAAAGGATTAGTTGGTTACTGGAGACATGAGCTTGGTGTTCAGAAAGATAATGGATCTGAATTCTAACTCTGTGACTTTATGGAAGTTGCTCATCTCTCTATGCCTGAGTTTCCTCATCTGTAAAATGGAAATGATTACAGTAACCCTTACATGGAATTGTTATAAGGATTATATCATTATAATTCACTACTTATAACTGTATTATTACCTGTTTCTAATATTAAAGTTCATTTTTATTATTACACCCCAAGAGATTTTAAGTCTCAGCTGAATATATAGGACTAAATATCTATTCTATGGACCTTTTTCTCAAAGAATAAATGAAGATAATAACTGAATCTACATTTTTAAAAATGATAAATAGTTTTAGTAAAAATGCTTTTAGCTGCAAATGGTAAAACATTTTCTTGCACAGTTCTCCTTTTTTGTTGTTGTTGTTAAAAGGGGCATTTTTCTTACATAAGAAGAAATCTGTATCTGCTAGCATTGGGTTAGAAGTTTCATCTTCTTTTGGCTGATATTTCTGTAATTTCCTTGAAATTTCCTTTGGCTTGTTGCTTTGGTCACAAATGGTGGCTTTGGCTCCTAACACTGGTCCCACATCCAAGGAAGAAAAAACGAAGAAGGGATGCCCTCTTTTAATAAGAAAATGACAACTTTTCTAGAAACTTCCAGGAAATTGCTACCTACTGAAAAGAAGCAGAACTTCGCCATGTGATTGTCTCCCCTGCCCGCATTAGAAGGAACCCAGAAAGTGAGCCTGACCTAGACACCTTGTCTTGCAATTCACTTGGTGTCTTTTTTTTCCAGTAGAGAAGGCATATTAGGTAAACAAGAATCTCTGTCATTACATTGTTTACTGACTCTCTTTCATGTGCCAAGCTTTGCCCTGAGCAATACAAAGGAGTCATTTTATTCTTCACATTTAATATAATAGCAATTATTTTAACAACTGGTTTCCTTAAAAAAACTAAAAGCATAGAGGCACAGAAAGTTCACTTAGACAGCATAACTCAGATCCTGACTCTCTGACTCCAAGGTATGAAGGGGGAAAAATTATACACATGTGTATGTTTTTCAGAGGATCTCTGAAAAATGGACTCATGACTGTGAGTTCTCACTTTGGTGGGAGGTAAATTCTACCACGTACCTCTGTACTGAGCTTTCTGGAACCGCCTGTGTCTTACACACTCCCCTTACTATGACCTTCCCCTCCCTCGACTATTGCTTCTCCTGGTGGGGACCATATCTCAAACTTCTGCCTTGCTCTGAGTAAACCTAAAACAGAATGCTTCCCAGAAAATTAGAACAATGCAAGTTTTGTGCATTTTGTTTTGTTTTGTTTTTAATTTAAAAGGTCTAAGTTTCCACTTGCCTCAAACTTCTGCCTTGCTCTGAGTAAACCTAAAACAGAATGCTTCCCAGAAAATTAGAACAATGCAAGTTTTGTGCATTTTGTTTTGTTTTGTTTTTAATTTAAAAGGTCTAAGTTTCCACTTGCCTCAAACTTCTGCCTTGCTCTGAGTAAACCTAAAACAGAATGCTTCCCAGAAAATTAGAACAATGCAAGTTTTGTGCATTTTGTTTTGTTTTGTTTTTAATTTAAAAGGTCTAAGTTTCCACTTGCCTCGGCAATCGGATTTGACTTTCTGCAGCCTCAGTAGAAGGCTGGAATTCATGGCTGCAGACTGACTTCACAAATTCATCTACTCTTAGCCAGTAAAATGCATTCAACCTGTCTTCCTTACCTTCTTCTCAGCATTGATTTATCAGTTTAAACCAGAACAGTTCTGCATATCTTAATGGGGACAACACAGCAGGAGTAGATGACATTAGCACTAGCCTAATCTCCCTTAAATATTAGTAATTTAAAATAGGTTGCAGTATGGAATAGAATAGTTTAAATGTAGTCATAGAATCAAGCACACACCTCCAACGTATCACACATCCAGCAACCAACCCACATTAGAAATGAACAGATAATACCTCTGTGCCTCCATGTTTCATTAGATATTATGCTTAGAAGTAATTTGAGTTCAATCAGTGTGTCAAAGCACTGATGGTATTTGTTTGCCCAAAGTTAATTTTTAATTCCAGTTTTGCAGTTGTCCACCTGCCATAGCACTCTGCATTGGAATCCTTGATCAAGCAATTAGTACTGTGCCCAGAGGATATCTTGGCCTTTATGACCCACTAGTCCAGAAAAGTCCATTCATGAACATGCTCCAGGCTGAATCCTGCTCTAGGCAAGTAGTTGAATATTCAAATCTGAGAATTTTCCAGAAAAAAAATTGTAAAAAGTAGAGAAGAAATGAAGCCACTGAGTACTATAGTTAAAAACTCAGAAATTGGTTGTATAGCGGTTTGAATCCTAATACTATGCATTAGCCATGTAACTGGGGACAAATTATTTAATCCCTTCTGCCTCATTTTCTTCCTCTGTGAAACAGGAAGTCTTTAACACTCATCTCTGCAAGAGCGGACAATGGGTTCTCACCACTGTTCGAAAGTGAACAAGGAAGTAATAGTGTGTGGTACACAGTTAGGCATTCAGCGAATGCTCTCCTACAGGGCAGGAACACCAGTGAGGCAGAGACTTGGCACAGGAATCTGACTCCATGAGGCCCATGGAAGTTAAGGAACCTCTCTCACTGAGGATGATTTTCTCCAAAGTCCCTGATCTTCAATTTTGGCCTTCTCTCTCCTGAGCTACAACAGCTGCTCTGAAACTTGCACACACTGGCTCCCTTCTGTTCTACCACAGCTGTCATCAGAGCACATGTGCCTCCTGCCTCTGGGTAACTCTTGGTGACAAGCTAGATGTGAGAACAATTCTAGCCATGGGATCTTGGCACTATTGGTGAAACTGCTCCGGGAGATTAGCTGGGCACCCCTCATCCTGCAACTGATCTGCACATTGCCAAAGATATCTGAGGGAGCCAGAACCCTACAGGTCCGTTTTTAAGAAAGCTGAACAGTTCTTGCCATTGTCAGCCATTCCTTCAGCCTTTCCTGCCATAAGCCAAGCGAAATGGATCAGCTACAAGCCAGATCAATGCCTCTAAGCCACGGGCAATGGGATGTGAAGAAAGACAGGCTGACACTTTCCAGTGATACATGATTGTTCCAGAGGATGGAAAGGTAACCAAAACTTCCCCACCAACCAGAATGCTTTTCAGCCTAATGCTGTTTTCTTTTTAGTGACCTACTTTGGCCATGAGAATTGCACTGCATTCTCTCTGCAGCCAGTTCCAGGACAATTGCAGTGGCTTGCCTCAGTTTTCCTCACTAGATACCACATCTGCATGCCAGCTTCCTTTACCTCACTGTTTAGGTGACAAGTGTTTAAGATCTAGCAGCAAAATCCATTAGTATTAAAAGCCCACAGCAGAGATTCAGGTAAGATAGTTTTAAAAACAAAGCTCTAAGTCCCACCCAGCTGAGCACAGAGAAGAGAGGCAGTGAGGAGGCCGAGCTCCCTTTCTGCAGGACAGGTGTGTGTGTGGGAGGCTGTGTGAGCAACGAATGCTGGCAAACACCTCAGGAAGAAACACATTGATTGTTTTATGTAATAATAGATTCAGAGAAGTTTTGAAAACAAGCAAATTGATTAACCAAGGCTTAGTTCTGAATCTTTTGATAGGCTGAGTATTCATACACTAGAAATCCACTTTCCATATCCTATATTCTTCCCAAATAATGTCTCAATGCATCAATTTTCTTCCATTTTAAAAGAAATAAATAGCTACAGTTCTTTTTAGAGAAGGAGGGAAATATTGTGTCTTTTCTTCAAAATAATAGACCAGCATTGGATTGTTTCTTAAAAATTCTATTTTTTCTCACAATAGGACAGCACTTCAGTGAGGGTTGGGGGGAACAATCCACTGAGATTAATGATCATTCTGACATCTAATTTCTCAGGGTATAGATTTCTTATGGCCAAAAATTAGAGGAAGTCAGGGATCAGAAAGAAAGTTTTCCAGAGCTCCAGTTGGCAGTGGAGGTGACTTGCCTAACATGACCTACGTGAGTGATCCAATCATTTAACACAACAGATGCTCTCTTACAGAGCAGGTAACCCCTAACATCATTAGAGACCCTAATCCTGCATGAGCTGTATCCTCTTTTCTTCCATTCTTTTTCTGCAATCTGATAACCAGTGGGAAGCCAGGAGAAAAGACATTCAGTCATTGTACATGATACAAAGAGTCAGCTATGCAACAATGACAGCTCCGCAGGGGGCCTGAGAAGTTTATGCCATGAGCCAGCACAAAATATAATCACCTCAGGAGTCAAAGTGTATTATGAAATACAAAGCCTTGCTTTAGAGCTTGAGAGGATCAGCAGGAAAATATTTTACCAATGTGGATGATGGTAGCACAGACAAAAATAATCAACCATTCAAATGACTTGGATAAACAGTTAAGGAAAGATGATCACCTTACCCAGCTTTTTCATGGATGATCTTCAAACATGCATTGGGGAAATTCAGATCCAAGCACAGCAAGAATCTTCTTCTGATATATCTGTGTGTCCTTTCTACAATAAGACCTGAATACCCCTGTAACACCCCTGCAAGAGGAGCACCAACTCTTAAGACCCGAAGGATTTTTTAAAAGTATGTTTATATTATTTCAATCACCGACCATTCAAGAGGAACAGTTTTCTGGATTCACCTCAGTGAATGAACAACACAGCATTCTAAAGTTACAGAGTAAGGCTTGTCAGAGTTCTCCAAGTTCATCACTGCTCTTCTGATGACAGCTAGCCAGCAGCTGAGGACAGAGCATGCTCAGGTGAGTGACATCCAAAGTGTGGCGACAAGAAAGTAAATTCATTTCCTCTGCCCAGCTCCAAGTGTCCCTTCAAGCTAAGCATGGGTGTCCAGTGCCCCTCACATCTTCCTTGTGAGGCTGCAATGGTCTCCTTACCCCTCAGTATAGTCTAGGAACTGAGATGTATTTATTCACCTGAATTTGAATCTATTCTGTTCATTTTCTGAAGTAAAATTCTTTCTTCCTAAATCACCCCTTCTTGGCCCTTTTTCATTGCTGTGGTCAGTATCAGTGCTGTCGCTTCCACTTAGCAAACACTGACAAGATGGCAAGTGCTGGGCAGAATACTCTGTGTGCATAATTTCATTAAATCTTCACAGCCTTCTTGTGAGGAAGGCAGTGTTATCACCCCTACAGTCCCAGCCTGGGCAGCTTTGAAGAGCCTGGCTCAAAATCAAATGTGCAAAGCACTGGAGACTTAGCTTAGCAGATCCATACAGCAGGAGTGAACCCCTATGTTTAAAATCTAGCACTACAAAATGTAAACATAAACATAAACATAAACAAAAAGAGAGCTGGAATTTACATCTAACTGGCCCAGATTCAAACCCTGGCTTTTATATTTTATGCTATATAAATTCTCAAGTCTAGTAATTCTGAAATTATCTAAATACTATCTTGAAAATAGAAATACCCAGAGAATGTGTTCCTAAGTTATACACCAATGGACCACACCACTTACTATTCCAACTGTTCCCCACCTTACACTTCTTTATGTGTTTACTTACAATTCTTTCAAAGTTTTCAAAATGCACTGCCTTTCCTTATCCTAATATGTAATATACATTTTCAAAAGGTATTTATTATCAGAGTTGCTAAGAAGATTTGCTTCTTTTAAAGCCTTCTGCAAAATGTAGACTTCCTGCATATGTCAAGAACTTGTGTTTGGGTTTTCTTGTCTTATGTGTTTAATGTCAAAGTCTTTCCCCTTAGGATCTACTACTTCAAGCTCTCCAGTTCATCGCCTTGTGAATTAAACCTCTTTGCTTCCTGCTGCAAGCAGGAAGGAACGCAGCCTTATGAAGAATTCTTTACAATTCTTTTCATAGGACAAGTCTGAAGCAACCCCCTTCCATTCAACATCATTGTGCTACTCTGTAGAATCAAATATAGACTCCGTCACCATTCCTATGTAATGTGTCCTAGTTATTTGTTTTGTACTGAAATTTTATATCAAAAAATGATTTGACTTACTTCCTTCTCTTAAATTTGAAAAGGATCCTAGGTTGTCTTTCATCTTCCTGCCCATTATTATAAAGGCAGTTTGGATGTCATATGAAGATCAGAACAGGGGAAATGTGAGCACAGATTTTCTTCCACCCAAAGCTTCTGGTTAATTCTGAGGGCTCCTAAGCCTCCCTTGTCCTCTGAAGCTAGTTAGGTGGTTATTTCTTGGTTACAAAGGGACATTTCTGAGTGGCTTTGTTGTGTGGATTATGGCACCAGCAATTGGTAAACACTAAAGGAGTCAAGCTTCTTGTATTTATGAGATTTGTCCCAGCTCTGCTAGAGAAATTCTGATCGTATTTCTGATGAAAGAGACACTGAGTGCTTGCAGGGCGTGAGGCAATTTTTAAAGGACTTCACATGCATTTTTCCACTGAAACTTCTCGGTAACGTGGGGGGGAGGGATAATCATTAGAATTTTTCTCAAATTTGAGACAATTTGCCTGGAAAAGTTAAGGAACGTACCCAGGATATCACAGCCAGAGAAGGTACAGCATCTAGGTATGGAATCAACTGTCTTGACCATTAGACTGTCCTGAAACTCAATAAAGCTTCTGAAATAAGCCTTCTCTGCTTTGGATAAGAGGCATTGGAGGAGGCTTAATGAAGAAAAGAGGACTTACACCAAACAAGAGACCATTTCCTAAGCATGCTGATGGAGTTTATATAGTTTATTCATTTGAAAAACATGTACTGAGCCCACCTAGTGTTCCAGTACCTTTTCAGGGCTATAATTAAATGTGTGAGGCAGGTAGAAAGGGGTTCACTGAGCTCACCATTGGGTGATGCAAGCTATGGTGCCGGCTGGGTCAGCTCTCTGAAAACCCTCTTGGCTGGATCACTTTGCAAGAGAGCACAGGTGAAGGAAGGATGGCATTTCAAACCAGGAAGCCTGAGGAGCTTGGGCACTGGGTGAGGGTGTCTCTAGCTGACTCCTATCGGTACCCCCTCCCAGTATAGCTGTCCTGAGCACCAAGGGTCCAACACAGAAACCTTCAGAGGGCAACACCCAAGCCATCCCACTGATGAGCTGGGGACTGATCAAGATGCTGGTGACATAGCTGTGAACAGAACAGGCAGAAATTCTTTAGGCTACTGTGTGGGGAATGAGACACTCACTGGCAGTAAGTGTACGAGCTGGGTGTCAGGTCCTAACAGGCTAGGGCTGTGGGTAAGGACCCAGAGAAAGGTGAGCACGGAGTCCCAGGTTAGAGGTTGCGTGAGAGCTCAGGAGGAAAAAGAAACATGACAGAAAGACTGAGAGAGCCTTGACGGGGGAGTAGGAGAAAACCCAGAAAGACTTGATATTCTAGGGGAAGTCGAGTTGAATTTAAGGAAAAGAGAATCACCAAAGGCACCAAGGGTGTGCCATGGGCATGTGCCTTTGGGGAGAGAAGGGAAGGCCACTCCTGAATGAGCAAGTTGGAGCGAAAACGGAGGTGATATACAAGAGGCAAACTGTTTGGGAGGCCTGTGATGAGCAGCACCGCAGGTGGGTTGCTCACCCAGAAATGCCTTTTTAGCTCTTTGGGCTGTTCCTCCAAGCTGCAGGTGTGGCCAGGTTTGGGTTCTTGAGAGAATTCCTACCTGAGCTTGCAGACGGTTGCCTCATATGACAGTTGTCCCCGTATGGTGTCCCCCTGTGCTTGAGCTGCTGGCATCTCTCCCCGTGTCTGGGTTGCTCTTCATTTCGTGATACCTGTCACAGTGGGTTGGAGTGCACTTGAATGGTTTTCTTTTATTTCATCACCATCTTCAAATAGAGCCTCATCCTGAGGCACTGAAGGTCAGAGTTTCACTAAGTGACTCCTATATAGACAAGGCTTTTTAAAGGGCTTGAAGTCAGGGAGAAGGAGAAATTGGGGTAGTAATTCATCCAAAAAAAGGTATTTCTGAGGTCTGAATTTTTTTAATGGACCCTGTCAGGCTGGGGATTGAGATCAGTGGTATGAGTGCCTGCCTGGCAAGCATGAGGTCATGAGTTCCATCCCTGGTACAAAAAAAACCAAACAAACAAACAAACAAAAAAACCTGTCATTTTATATGCTGCTGCAGTTTATCTAAAACCTTATAAGAAAAGAAAATTAGTGTCATAAAATAAATAGTTACATGTAATTCAACTGCATGTTACATGTAATGTACTCTACACAGTCCTGCTTAAAGGTAAGGCTCTAGGAACTTTATTCACAATATATTGGTCTGAATTCTGTCCAAGAACATCCATTGAGGGAAATTCTGTGTCCTCAATCTGCAATTTTTCTTAAAATTATGATGGTCCCTGCCTTCTTGCTATCCTTCTTTATCTTCTTACCACATGGAGCTTCAGACAACCTTAGGATCAGTTTGAATTTGTCTAATAAAATGCATTTCTTTGGCATTTCTGTGGTAGACAAACAGCTTTTTTGGAACATCTTATCTTAAACTGAATTTAAAATTCTTAGAATGGCAATGTAAGCAGCCATCATAGGACTTACAGTGTGTTGTTGCTTTAACAAAATATTTCTTTTTCTCCTATATATATTTTTTTTACAACTAATCTGATAAAGGGGAAATACTCCTGATCCTAGGTGACAGTACCTTTTAAATAAAGAAAATTTGAAGTCTATGGGGAAATAGGTATATGGGACATTATGTGGCTACCTAAAGAGGGAACCATTAGAACATGGGTCAGCATGATGGTTCATGCCTGTAATCTCAGGACGTGGAAGGTTGAGGTCAGAGAATTGCCATGAGTTTGAGGCCAAGTTAGGCAACATAGCAAAACCCTGTGTTCAAAAACTATCCTCTTGAAAAAGTATGAATGAAGCAAAAGACTGTCCAATATCAAAAGGAGAAGAATGGAAAAAACAAGAAACAAAAACAAATTTGCAAAATTTGAAAACTTGCTGAAGATTGAAATAACTTTAATCCTGTAATTGGGGTTGGATTGCCTTAAAATGTTACTATTCTAGGAGATCAGAATATGCTTCCCCAAAATATGACTGTAGGAGACCAGAATACACTACTCCAAATATGCCTCTTTTGCAGAAAGATTATTTTGAGCTGATTATTTTGAGAAACAGCAGACACAGAAAAGTTCCAAAAACAGAGTAGAAGTTACCCTTTCATAAGGAAAATTTACATTTATAAGGAAATCTCCATTTGTATGTGTCTCCCTCTTGGTACCAGAAAGGGGAGGACTATAAATCATGAGATAATTCTATCAATGGAGAAGGCAATAAATTAAATCCGCTAATAAACTCTACCCTGGTTTACATATTTTTCTTGGTAGTCTTGCCATAACTCCACACCCTTCCTTTTCTTATGTAAGTGAAATATATTTAACCCTGAATTCTAAGCAAACTCTTTGGATGGCAATTTGTGTTTGCTTTCTCTTGTCAACCAATCTTTTATTATAATCTCAGCCAAGAGTTTATAATAATAGAAGAAAAGTTATTTTTACCTCCCAAGGCCATTGATAATATGTTAGTGTTTATCTTCAGCCAAATGCAGGCTCAATTTCTTCTCTTTTTCACACCAAATTCTCAATTACGAAACAAATTTAAGATATTCACTACTGATTTCCTTGTATGTGGACTCTATTCTAAACCCCAAATCTATTTCTTTTTAAAAAGCAAGTTGCATGAGACTTCAGAAGTCTGTTCATGAGTTTGCCAGGCTTTCTACTCCTCACCTTAAGACTGGGGTGTGAATCTCTGGATAAACCTTAAATGCTGCTCTCTAAATTACTGGAATCACTTTCCTTTTTTAAACTGCTCATTTCAATTCTCTATGGAGTGAGAGGAATTTTCCTTCTACTTTCTGAATATTGGGCAATTTGAATTTGAATCTAGGAAATTAACAGACAATTAGCAGATCCACATGAGGAAAGGCCACACATATTGACACATACAAGTACAAGAGCCTCAGAAAACAGGAGACCCAAGCAAGAGCCCAATGGTTGCAGCTTAAATAGCATTTTGAGTTGCAAAAAGAAATAGGGACTTAGAGCCTCTTGTGAGGAGATGATGATGCATGTCAGAAGAGAAAATGCATAATGAGCAGAGACTGTATTGTATGCAAGTAAAGACTGCAGAGAAAGTCTCCTCGGAGGAATGAATGCTAGGTGGTACCATTGTGTATGCAGTTCGGCTCCTGGGCTGTGTGAGATTTAAGGGAAGAGACTCATGACAATGGCATTTATTCCCAAGGAACTTCCTTCAGCCAGATAAAAGACCCTCAGAAGTAGCCTTTTTCTGCTATTCAGGCAGTAAAGAGGAATGAGAGACATGGGGGTGGAAGGGCAGAGAGACCTGGTCCTCCCGTCATTGAAGATACTGCTAGAATCCAAGGTCAGGGAACATGGCATTGGGGAATCCCAATATGGCAGATCTGCCATTCTCCTCCAAAATCAAAGAGAACAACAAAAGTGATGGTGAAAGGCAGGAAAGGAATTTGTTCAGCATTTCTATACTAGAAACAGCCCTGCTTTCAGGGGTACTTACAGTGACCTGAGACTCATCTAGAGGAAAATTTGGGTCAGGAGGCAAGAGGCATTCATAGTTCAGCAGTGTTAGCCGAAGTGTAATCTTGTTGATTATCATCTTGGGTTTGGTGGTGAGGTCTTTCTAGTTACAGAGAAATTAGAAAACCTGTTATTCCTGGAGAAGGCAATCTAGTTACCATTATGAAACGATTTTTCCTGCTTGGTTAGGGGGCATCCCCGGTCCCCATCATAAAACTGCTCTACTTGGGAAGGTCTCATCAAAGTGAGATCTGCCTGCAATTCTTACCATTCCTGGATTCTTGAAAATATCTGTTTCTCAGTGCCTTCCATCTTGGATGAAGAGGTTAGCTAGAAATAGGGGAAATCAGCCTTGTGTTGCCAAGTTTTAGGCAAATACTCTTTGGATGGTTAACGTGTCTGCATGCTGAACCAAGCATGAATCTGACTCAGAGTTTAAGTTAAGTAATGAAGATAGGCATACAATGGAGGCAGAGATGTCAAGCTTTTCTCCATTTTTAGTTACCCAATGGGCATTTTTAGGTCCAAGTATTAGTGCTTTTAGTAAAAGCAGTCTCTGAGTCCATATTATAAAATATTGAGCGTGTAAAAGTACCATATTTGGTAGTTTTCTGAGCCCAAACACCCAAAAAAAAGCAGTAGGAATAAATTATCTATTGGTGATGCTCAGAAAATGATGTCCTATAGTAAGACATCTGGGTGTGCTGAATATAATCAACCAAAGGAGCCTGGGAGACCTCAGAAGTAGCCTTGGGAACAATGGCCCTCTCTGACTTTCTCCTACCCTGACTCCCAACTGTCTTTCTACACAGAGGACAATCATAGAACGTGAATTCCTCTTCCCTAAGATGGGCCATGGATAGCAGAGATATCACCCTAACCTTTGCTTACCTTTCTGGGTAGGAGATGACCATAAACAAGCTTTCTGATGTCCTTTGTAAGCTGCTAAGGACATAAGGCCCTCTTGATCTATACACTGATGGGGAAGATGCTACACAGAAAACCCATGATGAGCCTGAGCAGGAAAACACTGTAAGGTTTCCCTGCTTGATCTGTTATCACTGGATATTATTTTTTGGTCTTGTCCTATTTCTCCAGGACTGCCCTTTCATCATCAAATGTAAGTATGAAAATAGCTTTCTCCAAGCCCTCAGCCTTTCATTTCTGCATCTTTCCTGGTCAACTCAAACTTTGATTAAATAAATATGTTATGTTTTTCTCTTGTTAGTTTGGAATTGTTTTAAGGGTGTAGGCTGTGACTTTCACCACGGAAAGGAAAGACATCACATCACTCCACCATTATAAAGAAATGAGGGGCATGATCAGTGACCAGAAAACAGATGAAAGAACTAAACTGTTGAATTAGAATGGATCACAAAGAGAGGGAAGCCATCATTCAAGATCAGATTACATTGTTGGCACAGTCAGAGACCAGCTTAAGAACAGAAAACAAACAAACTCCAGGCCCTTCGCTTGTTATTCATTAAAAGCATGATTTGTGTTTCCCCTGATGCAGTCAAGGACTTTAAAGCTGTTTTTGCTAAGAAAAAGAAAAAAAAAGGCAATGACTTCTCGCTTGGGCCTACAGATGAATCATGGGTGAATAAAAGCAAAACAAATCTTGACCTTCCTTTGAATCAGATCCATATTCAGTTCTGCACAGAAAAGCACTAGTCACTTAAGGACTGTCCTTCTAAAACTTGGCAAAACAAGGTTGATTAGTCCTAAATTTACATAACTTGTCCTGTTCCATTTCATGAAGACATCAAGATAAGAGGTATATGGAGTCATACAACTGCCTCAGGAATGCTCCAGTGACTGGCAAAGCTCCACAAGACTGAGACTGTCCCAAGAAGAAACAATCGTCTCATGGAGACTGCATTGCCTCTCCAGCCATAAGGATTCCTTGAGGAGTCATCTTGTAAAAACCAGAACAGAAATAGAGATCAAACAGATTCTAGCTCACCTCAATTAACACATAACTGGGCCAGTCTAATCCTCTTCCTCAGTACTGGGACCCTTCACCTCCTTAAACAGAAGCCTCTTCCCATTTCCCCTCACCCTATAACTCTGCCTGGGAAATCTGCCTGTGCCGTTGACATATCTTGAAATACTTTTCTTGATGAGAGTTGAAGAAATTACTCTGTGGCAGGAGGAGAAAGTGGGTTGAAGTCTCCCATTTCCTCTTCGCGGGGCCTCCTTCAATCCCATCTGGTGATCCTGTGACACGATGCGAAGTTTCATCCAGTGAAGTAAACAGTCCCTAGGAAACCAAGGACAATAAACAGGGGTCAACTGTCCCCTTTCAAACTTAATGCTCTGCTTTCATGATGCTCTGAGCAGAGAGTTTTGCCCTCTGTTCATCGGGACCAAAGTTACTGAAGGAGCATACAGGTTAATAGAAGAAACAAAGGCCACGTACTCTCTCTTCCCAAAATGAATTTCTCATGAAATCTATTCTTTAAAAATGTAGAACATAGTGTGCTAAAGGAATGAGAACTGGGCCTCCTTTACGATGAGGTCCACTCGTATGGGGCTCTGCCCAGTTCTGTGTGGCACCCTTCCATCATGGCACTGGCCCCTGACACAACAGCTCATCTCTCCTACACTCACTCCCACGCTCCTCTTCTGGACCCCAAACAACAAACTTTCTGCCTTTCTTTCCTGTGTGTGACAAAAGTCCTCCAGCTCTCTCCCACCACGATGTCCACTCACAAGTCTCCACCCCATCCCAATCCCATAAAAGCGATGCCCCAGCTTTGTCTCCTTTTGCAGGTCCTTGCAGTCTCCCGCAGCCGCCTGCATCAGCAGTAAGGCTTTTCCCTATCGCTGTCTTTGTCTCTGAACCGCACCAAAAACTGAACACTTTATCCTTAACTTCCACTCTTCTTGGTAACTTGATAGCAGAAGGTGAGGTAACTCTGAGCAAATGGAGCTCTTCTGGAACAAGTAAATTTCCTCTTCCTTCCAGGCTAAAATAAAAAGGCCTGAAGCTTTGGCTATTTAATTGCATAGTTGCTTTTTATGGGAATAATCAATGCTGTCAATAAGCAGCATCTAATATGTGATTAGGAGCAGAGAACATGGCATATACAAGGATAAGTTACATTTAGTCCGAGATGCTTGGGCCCTGCTGTAGGCATTTTTTGCCATCTTGTAAATTTGTTTGTGTACATTGCCGGCCGAGCACAAATCATGATAAAATCTCTCTCCATTAGGGGCATTTAGGGTTTGGGAACTTTGAATCTTGCCACCTGGAAGAGATTCTATTTCCTCCACCTCTTCCTCCTCTCTCCACTTTTAATGCAACATCTCACCGCCTTAGCATTTCACGCTTTTGAAAGATGAATTAATTATATCAGCTTTTCCTCTTGATCAGCAAAAACATCAGGTACTCAGACTATGGAACCAGAGAAAGGCACAGCTTCTATCAATTCTCGTCATCATATGAAGTACAAAGAGGAGACAGTTTCCTCAAGTAATACTTCTACATTTCTGGTTCTCTGACACATGGACGGTAGTGTGAGATATTTGCAGCTGAAGACTGTTAATTATCATTCTGGATGATCATTTGCATTTATAGAGCACCTTTTATAGGATCAAATCAAATCATTAAAGCTATTATACTAATGAATGCAAAGTGACAAGTGCTAATACGTCCATGTATGTGGTGAGGCAGGCAGGACTTCAAAGGAACCAAAAAAGGAGCCAATTAAATGTGTTCCGGTCTCTTGAGCTCTTCCTGAGATTCAGAGGGTTCTCACCAGGCCTAAGGGACAGGACAGAATTCCTTCAGTCCTCTGATGAGGTAATTACAGAGCCTAATATGCTGAAAAATTCTTTTCCAAAATTGCTCAGATCACTAATTTCATATTTGTCTCAGAGGAAGCCTGTGCTCCAGGTTTATCTGAAGAAATGGAGCAGTCCTTTTTATAAATGTTTATTATCATCAATAGGTCCCCAAAACTTAGGCATCCCCCAGTTCTGTCAGAGGCATGGTGCTCCTGAGATGAGAGGGACTTAGACATTTTGCTCCATCTCACCCATTAAGCTGCAAGTCCTACTTTAAAGGCTTTAAAATTGGAGACTCTCAAGATATAAAGGACAGTAAGATTCGCTGCTTTGATCTTTCTTGAATTTCTTCAATAGCATCTAACAAAAGTTCCCCTAGTGTATATTTAATATCATTTGCACATCATTGATGAAAAAATTAACTAGAAAACGTGACTATTATCTCTTTCGCATATTAGCTTTTCTATCACTGGAACACAGTACCTAACGCCCACAATGTACACACAAAGAGATTTAATTTGGCTCATGGTGTCAGCTGATTCAGTCCATGGTCAGCCAGTTCTGGGCAGAGACATGCCTGGAAGGGTGTCGTGGGGCAAAGCTGCTTAGTTCCTGGTGGCGTGAGGGAGAGCAGGAAGGCAGAGCCAGAGAGCACACAAAGTCATGTCTTCACCACCCACCCAAACACACCTGCGTGTGTGGGTGCTTCTTAAACTGGGAAAGTTGACAGATCATGATTAGTGGTTACATGCCCTGTCCATGCCACACTGAAGATGCAGTGACAAATGAGGAACATGGACTCTGTCCTCAAGCATCTTTACCACATTGTTTTCTACCATACTGTTAGATGATAGATTTCTTTTCTACCATCCGAAGCAGGGTGAGGAAAGACTGAACATCACGTCTGAGATGTTATAGAAGTCTGTTGGATCATCTTTTTCTCTCTGGCAAGTATGGAACAACAGACACATCCTTTGGAAGGAAAGAACAGTCTTCTCTGCAGCTTCAAATTTACATTCTAAGGCTCTCCATTCAGTGGTGTCCTTGCCTACTATAAACTCTGCATTTGTTTCCCTGGTCTTAGGTTATTTCCATATAACCTGTGGAGACAGCAGTGATTCTCTTCTGGCTTCTAGAGTGGAAGAGTATTTGTTTACTGATTCTTTCCCTGGCCTCCAGCTTGGTGCCACAGGGTAGACAGACACATAAAAGCAATTTCAGAATAGAAGTCCTTTAAGAAACAATTTCATGTGTTTTCCCCAAGTTTCTGTTCAAAGATAGGCCCTGAAAGTTTACAAATGAGCAATTTATTAGGATCCTGATATGCTTATAAATATATATTACTTGTTTATTTCACCAGTGAGAAGACTGAGTTTTTCAAAGCCAAAGAACTGTTAGTAGAGAAACTTCAAATTGAGGACCTAAATTCACTTGTAGCAAAGAAACAGAAGAACTTTTACATTCTCAGGCCATTTTTTTTCTTTTGTGTGTGTGCTTGTCAAAATATTGTGTCTCCAACTAGATTAGGGAATTGGAATCAGATAATTCACTCTCCTACACTAACATTCCTCTCACATCCTGCCCCGGGCAGAGCTTTGAATCTCCCTGGTATCTCCTAAGCAATCAAGAACAATTAAATGATTATTGTTCTGGTCCTCTGCTACTTTTCTCCTTGTCACATTAAGATGAAGAGTGCTTTTGTATTTACCCCAAGGCAATTTCTCCCTAAACAACTCTGTGGAATTGTCAGGAAGGCAAGATGGAGAGACCATAAAGACAAAGAGAGAGTCTAGTTTTCAAGGCGGGGCTCAGTGGACTCACCAAAATTCAGGATTCGGTCTTGCTGGATTTCAAAACACTACCAACTATACAACTTTAGCCTATTGAGCAAGTCCAACTGAAGGAAAGGAAATTAACAAAAACCACAGAAGTCAGAAAGGTTCTTTCTGACTGTCTCCTGCCTTTCAGGCCTCAGGCAGGTTTTATGTGGATTCCCTTACCTACCTTCACTGAGGACAGTAGATCATAAGACTCTCACCCCAGGAGCCTCTGCCCATCAGTAACAAGCCAAGAAGATTTTGAACAGACAAGCCTAGTTGAAGACTTCCAGCTTAGGACCATGAGCTCATACAACCATCTCTCAGTCACCAACTGAGTGCATGACTGTTCCTAAAGGTAGTTGTCTATGGGCCTTTGGATCTTTGTTCTCATGTAATATAAAACATAGATTCAGTAGCTTTGCCTGCCTTTTTCTTGAGCTGTCAGTCATGCATCTTATGATGAGTGAGAAAAAAAATACTATTTTTTCTTACCTTACACTCATCAACTCCTCAACTGTTTTTTTATTTCTCCTGTCTCTTCTCTTCTCTTCTCTTCTCTTCTCTTCTCTTCTCTTCCCTTTCCTTCCTCCCCATCTGTTCTCTCTCTCTCTCTCTCTCTCTCTCTCTCTCTCTCTCTCTCTGTCTTTCCCCTTCTCTCTCCAGTGTTGGCTATATACAACTTTAAATAACATTTTTTGCATTCCCACAGTTGATAAAGGTCTTAGGACCGATCTCTGTTATACATAAGACACCAACATATCAATTGAGTTTAGAAATTAGATAATTAATTTTCAAAGAGCGGCTTTCAGTGACTATAATACTCATGTCTAAGAGTTTAGATGACTTACTCGCTAGTGACATTGTATAAAGGGATTTAAATGATTAGTTATACACTTTATTAACACAGAAAATACAGTGAAAATAGAATAGGAAATGAACTAATGAACATAAACGTTAGTATTAAATGTCAGCAGTTTAAATCTCAGCACACACTTGTAATCTCAGGTTCTCAGGAGACTGAGGCAAGAGGATTGCAAGTATGGGGCCAGCCTGGATGACTCAGAAAGACCTTGTGTCAGAGAAAAACACTGACTAGATATCTTAGAGTCCCTTGGTGTTAATTTCTGGTACCACAATGAATGAAGGAATGAAGGAATATAAATCCACCAAAGTAGGAAAATCTACAGCTGAGCTCAGCAGTGACATTCACACATGGCTCCAGAGCTTGTGTCCCCCTGACAAGTGGTATAAATGTAGAACACACAGCAGATTTCCAAAACTGTAGCAGGAGGAAAGCACAGCTATGTTGCAAATACATTTTAGTACTGATTACACGCTGAGACTGTTGCTGACACAGTTTGAAATAAAATACCTGAAAAATTCATTTTGCCTACTTATATTATTTGTATTTCTTTAAAATGGCTATTAGAAAATTTACAGCCATAGTTAGGTCCTACATTATATTTCTATTGGGCATGGCTGCTCTAGAAATAAAAAGGAGGTTCTAGAAGGCATGCAATAGATGCTTGCTAAATTGGATGTTTAATGAGAGTTCTAGGATCCTGCACTTTTGCTTTGATGAATTATCTAAATGCAATCAAAATGCATGAAAAATGGCATTCATCACAATGCCATTTCACAAAGTAAAATA